GCCTGGCCACCATGGTGAAAAACCATTTTTGAAGGTTACAGGCCACTTATTATGTACAATGTCCCTCAGTATGAGTTTGCATAGTATTTCCTCACAATTAGATTCAGGTTATGCATTTTTGCCAGGAATATCCAGAAGTGATGCTGTGTACTTCTCCATATATATTACCAGGAAAAATAATAACCATTTTGTGGGGAGGTACTTTTGAGACTAGATACAACTCCTGTTTTTAATCAAATTTTTGCTTGTTAATTTTAGTAACAATTGATTATTCCGGCCTGAAACAATTATAACTTTGGCGGTTGACAAATAGTGATATATATTGTTTTTTGTTTTTATTTGACATGGAGTCCTGCTTTGTTGCCCAGGCTGGAGTGCAACAGTGCGACTTTGACTCACTGCAACCTCTACCTCCCGGGTTCAAGAGAGCTGTAAAACTTGTTTAATTTATTTTTAAAAAATGTTTCTAAAAGATAAAAAATGTTTTTACCTGGAAATTGAGTAAACAAGTTATTTGTATTTGTAAGAAAGTCTATGGAATGTCTTATAAAAATCTATGGTGGCAGGACACAGTGGCTCACACCTGTAATCCCAGCACCTCGGGAGGCCGAGGTGGGTGGATCACCTGAGGTCAGGAGTTCGAGACCAGCTTGGCCAACGTGGCAAAAACCCATCTCTACTAGAAATACAAAAATTCTCCAAGTGTGGTGTTGGGCGCCTGTGATCTCTACTATTCAGGAGGCTGAAGCAGGAGAATCGCTTGAAGAGGCGAAGTTTGCGGTTGCAGTGAGCCAAGATCGCGCCACTGCACTTCAGAGTGAGACTGTCTTAAAAAAAGAAAGAAAAGAAAAGAAAAAGAAAACAACAGAAAAAAAGGCTATGCTAAGACCTTGGTTTCTGAAGTCCCACAGTTCCCCTAGTAAATGTTCTGGCTGTGTAGTAACCACACGCGTGCGTTTACCACAGTCTATCCAACCAACCTCCTTTGCTTGGACATTTGAGTCGTTTACAAGATTTTGCAATTACAGATAATCAGTAATGAATCAACCTACACATATGTATTCTCCTGTTGTTGAGGTATATGTATGTTCAGGGTCAATTCCTAGAAGTAGGATTGCTCAATAGAAGAGTAGATATATATGTGGGGTTTTTTTTGTTTGGTTGTTTTGTTGTTTTGCTTCTGAGATGGAGTCTCATTCTGTTGCCCAGGCTGCAGTGCAGTGGCACAGTCTCGGTTCACTGCAACATCCACCTCCTGAGCTCAAGCCATCCTTCACCTCAGCCTCCTGAGTAGCTGAGATTACAGGCGCACACTACCTTGCCTGGCTAATTTTTCTACTTTCAGTAGAGACAGGGTTTTGCCATGTTGGCCAGGCTGGTCTCGAACTCCTGGGCTTCGGCGATCTTCCTGCCTCCCAAAGTGCTAAGATTACAAGGCGTGAGTCACTAGGTCCAGCCTCATTTAGCCATTCTGTTTTTTGTTTTTTTTTCTAATTTAAGGTGACTTTTCACTTTCTCACATGCTTTTTGAAAGATATTTTCTTTTCCTTTAGCTTTGTAGGTTTTTGGGGAGACTTTTCAATAGCAGAAAACCTTTAATTTCCTGACTTTTGCAATTTTGTATGGATGTTGGCTACTTTATTCCAAATCATTCAATTCATAAAATTCTTACTTTGAGTGGCCTTGTCAGTTGTGCCCTCTTTTGTGCAATTTAAAGATCTTTGTTGATGGGGTGGGGGAAAATCTTGGCGTTTTCTCGTTTCTCTTTTTTTTCAATCCTCCTTTTCCTTTCACCACCCCTCCTTATAACTATTTCTCTCCCAGAAACACTTTCTATGAGGCTGCCACTCCTGGTACCACGCTTTTTTTTTTTTTTTTTGGGAAATAAGAGTATGGTTGACCAGGCGTTTTGTGGCTGGCTCGGAGCACGCCTTGTTTGGAATTTCCCAGATCATTGGGGAGGTCGGAGTGGTACGGATTCAGCTGAGGCTGGGAGTTTGCAACCAGGCCTGCTCTAACATGGAGAAACCCCGTTCTCTTACTAAAAATACAATTTTAGCAGGTCGTTGGTTGGCCCGACCTTACCTGCTAATACAGCTACTTGTTTGGGGGGAGGCTGGAGGCCAGGCCCCGCCCCCCCCCCCGCGCCCGCCCCTGCGGAAGAGATTGCCGTTGAAATCTTGGGAGGTTGGCAGGTTGTGGATGGCCGTTCTTGGGATATACCATTGCACTCCAGGGGCCTGGGGCAACAAGAGCGAACCTCCGCATCGCTCGC